GATTTATTTTTAGTTGTAAGAACAGGTTATGTATAAGCCACACTTAAAGCATTTCTGTTTGAATTCCCTTTGCATGGTGCATAACTGATAAGAAAAAAAAAAGCTGGCAACAGCCAGCCAGCCCTGGTGGGTACCCTGGTTTAGGCTTGTGGAGAGAAAATTATGGAAAGTTGGACAATGAGCTCCAATGTCAGCTGAGCAGAGCAGGGGGAGGAAAGAGAACAGGGCAGGGAGAAGAACAGATCAGGAGAAGGAGAGCAGGGTCGGAGATGAGATAAGGAGGCTGAGAGCCGTTGCGTTCCTCACTTGCATCCCAGGAGATGGATGTGCCATGTGGTGCTGAGCTGCAGGTCCCGCGCGGGACCAGGCGCGGAAATTGGGGGGAAAATGCCAGCAAGCCGCACTCGCCGGGCACCAGCGACGAGAGGGGTTTGGATGAGAAAAATCATCTTCATCTCAACGGGCTCTAGTTATTTTTGTTTATTTAAAGARTTGCTCTCTCATTTGCGGCATTACTTCAGAGGAGGCAGGAGAGGGGAAATCGGAGAAGATGGCCTAATCAGGCTTGAAACAAAACAAGCAGAATTTTCTTGCTCTTTCGCAGAAGTTTTTCCCTGCCTTTGCTGCTTTTGCTGCCTTAATTTTTCACAGCAAATGTTGCACTGCAGGCTCTGCAGCTTTGCGTATCAATACTGAAAGCGCTACACGGGAAATAGTGTGTCACTGTCAATATTTATTACACCAAAGAGGTGGATTTGCTTTGTTGGTTTTTCTTTCCTTTCTTTCTTTCTTTCTTTCTTCTTCTTTTTTCCCCCCTTAACATTACTCTCCCATCTCCAGGCAAGAAAGCAATTCTCCCCTTGCCCCAGAAACACGTGCTATAACCTCATGTCTCGTTGGCAGAGGATTTAAAGCCCGCACTATAATTTACATGATAATTGAGTCACATTTTACCTCCCGTGCAAGCTCCTTCTAGCTGGGGACTGCTCTGTCCTTTAGCAAACGGTACATTTAGCTTTGGCTCTGCGGGGAACTCTCTGCAATCTTGAGTAAGGAATATAATGGGAAAATGGCTCACCTGAGGATTTCAAGGGGATTACGGATTTAGGGAGAATCAGCTGCTGGATGGGATAGGGGGAGAAGCCCATGCAGTGCTACTGGGGCAAACGTTTAACTCGCTCTGCATCCTCTTGCCCTTCTTCTAGCACTTGCTACTCCTGCATATGCACGAGTGTCTTCTATGCACTGATCAGAATGCAAGGAGTTTTTGCACCCTAAGTCCGTCTTTTAGTCTCAGTTTCAAAGGGAAGCATCAGTAGGCCAGGGTGAGGTTTTATTCCAGCTGTGACTGTGTGGGCCTGCATTGCTGCAATAAATGCAAGTGCTGCCTGAGAGCGGCTGCACTGGCCTTAGGCACCTGCCCAGTCCTTTCTGAAATGCAAATGCTAGAAAKTAGTGTATTAGCAAGGAGCCTGTGGGATGCAATTGTCTGTTGACTGAAACATTCCTGATGGATGGACCTGGCGGGATGACATCTCTTATTTATGTCGGGGAGAACGCAGGTAGTTGATAGATTTGACAAGAGCGCAGTGGCAAACAGAATAACACTAAACCAGAATGAGAATGTATTTCCTAATGGCCCCTCTCGCAGCTGTATACACTGATTTAATCTTTCCAAAGCACTCYATTGTTTATGAGGCCTGTGGGTGCAATTTTATGCCTGACTGAAGAGGTTGCTAATAGCTGCCATATTTGTGTTTAAGGACCTGCAAAGGATTYGACTAAGTATTTTAAAGCAATGAGCCATAATAAAGTAATAATATATTGAAAATAATAAACAGCTTCTTATTCAATAATTGGCTGCAAAACTGCTGAACTTTAAATGACAAAACTACTAATTATGAATGCAATTGCTAATCATATATTCATTAGAGAATGCAAATTAGAAACAAGGCATTAAAGTCTCTATATGTGCCAGAGGCAACAAGTCACAGAGTAGGACTGTAGGYTCCTTAAAAGAAAAGAAAAAGAAACATAAGAAAATCCTAGGGGAAAATGACGTATTGCTATARGAAGAAGTCATAGTGATTACCCAGGATTACCATGTTAGGGAATAAAACTCTTAGATGAGAGAAGAAGTGGCTTTTCTTCTCCAGGCCAAGGTCTAATGTCCCACGTGTGGCCATTGCATGTCTGGGTCAAAACAAAACAATCTTCAAACTGCAATAAATACTAAAGCCCTGAAGTTCTCCTGTTTTTGAAGGGTGTTGTTCTTCCTTTCTACTGAGCTCATTTTCTTCCTCTTCTCTTGGAATCGCAATTCTTGTTGTTCCCATGCTTCAGAGTTTTTCTTCAGGACCAAGTTTTCCTCTCTGATTGAGTAACCTTTTCTTTATGGAGCAGATCAGGTAGAGGTGAAATGTAGAGATGATGTGAGTATGGGTATCCTGAAAACCTCAGTGATGGGGTAAATGTGGGGCTATTCTTACCAAAATGTATCTGAAGAGCTTCCTAAGGACTAAACCGGTAGGCTCACTGCCTCCTTCCTCACTCATTATGGTGCTCCATCATCTAGGCAAGACTGTAGATTAAAAGGCATGGTAGGAAGTCACTTGCAGACAGACAGTTTGAGGGTACAGAAGTGTATCTTGGTTACTGGATACAGCGTGGCTCAGGACTGGTTGGAGTGCAGTGTTGAGCTGGACGTGCTCCTGAAGGACACRACCAGCTTCTGAAGCTGGGCTGCAAGGTTGGGAATCACTAGCAGTGCTGCTGCTAAAATGAATACTTCACATAGCCTRTTGATAAAATAGCCTGAACTTAGCCAGAACTTACCCTTGACTACTGAGAGATAATTTGAGTTTAATAGACTATCAGGTACTGGCTTTTAGACATGTGAACCCAGAAGTCATGAAGATGATATAGCTAAGTTGTCATTATTATCAGCGTAGWCAAGGGCAAAAGCCTCTGTCAGGCCACTTGTAAGCCAAGAGCTTTCACCCCACTGTGGGCTCGGTTGTCCCTAAATTCCCTGCCGGATTCCCTGCTGGATTAGCTCAGTTGAAGTGTTACGAGGCTGTTTGTCTGGCAGGAAGAAAAATGTAGCGGCAGACCTGGATCTGAGTCTCTACTATAAATATTTCCATCACCTGCTTCCAGCAGAAGCTGTATACATGGCCGTACACACATCTTTCCCCCTCTTTAGGAATATATATGTGTATACTAACTTGCTCTTGGGGACCTTGAGGTTTCCGTTAATGACTTGTGTCCCTCAAGGTGCTGGCATACACCAGCTTTGTGTAAGAAACCAGTTTAATAGCCTGAGGGAGAAGCAGCACATCCCATGGTTCATGCCCTCCAGAGGTGTGAAAACAGCCCAAAGAGCCTGGTAGGTCACAGAACCAGCGTTGACCTCTGCAGAGCCCTCCGTACAGAAGCCAAAGAGGACAGATCTACCTGGAATAACGAGCGCTGCGCATGGTGAGCTCCCACACTGGAAAATGTGTTGGGCAGTTAGACACTCACAGGCAAAGGTAGGTCCGTAACTTAATATCCATGTTAGAAATCCTTCAGAGGAAAGTAGTATTTTGGCTGGAAGCAGAAGCTACCAGATGAGCTTTCAGCATGTATTAATGCTGGGGATTAGATAAGATGATGGTGGAAATATGTCTTGGAGATGTTTCCAGTATGGCCCCAGCATCTCCTTGTTATCTCAGTGCCAGCAGAAGAGCTGGGTTATCCTGGTCCTCATCCTGGGGAGGAAGCAGTCCAGATGGAGCTGCTGGGGATGCAGGAAGTTGATTTTGCAGCAATCACAGGAAACATGTGATTTCTTTTTATTTTTTTAGAGTTACGCTTCAGCCTTCAGAAAAGCAAAACAGCAACATGTGATTTGTTTAGCTAATCAATACTAATTAGCGTGGCTTGACTGAAGAGAATTGTTTGAGAAGAGTTTTCTGATCAAGGGGAAAGAAAAATGGCAAATGAGTGAAAATAAATCTAGGCATACTGTGACTTGCTAAAGACAATTTATGGACAGTGAAGGGGCTGAAATCTTTGGATAAATTATTATCCCTGAAATTACTCATTCAGCCCTATTTAAATTATGGAAAACACTGTCAGGTTGTTGTCTTGAGTCATCCTGCGTATTTTATATGCAGTGGTCTTCTAAGACCTTCTGCACTCTCTTATATTAAGCTAAACTGCTGATTCAGTCTGTGATAACATCTTGAATSATCTCTTGTAGCGGGGCTTGATTTGCTCTAGGTTTAGGGGAATGCTGATGAGCGAGGACCTCTGAACCACAACCAGCTTCAGGTGGTGGCCATGAGCCCTTGGCTTGCCACAGGTGCTGGGAATTTGCTCTGCTCCAGGGTCYCATTTTCTTGGACTTGGGTATAGGGGTGAGGAGCAAACACCTAAGGGGATGCAGAATTTATTAAAGCCTTCATCATTCTCGGTGGCATGCATGGAGTTCACTCCTTAGCTCCCCTTCTTTGCACGTCCCCATTGCACACAAACTCTGCACTGTGTCTACAGCTCTCTCTGGTTTGCATGACATTTGCCAGGTCACTCTATGAACTGTGGTGGGTCATTCAAACACAACTTAAATGGAATTGGAGACAGCTGTTGCTAATGTCATTGGCATTGAGTGATGGCTTGGGCCATGCTGGGGATGAACCCAGCCCTGGGCTCAGCATCTCCGTTGGGTGCTAGAGCTCTGCCCTGGGGTAGTACTTGCTCTCCACGAAGCAGATGCTGGTTGGCCTGTGCAGCCACTAATATTGGACACCTCAACTCTGTTCTAGGGAATTTTGCAGCATTTAGGGAAATCCAGGTCTCGGAGACAGGCGCGTGTGCTCGGCCGCACCTGGGCAGCCTGTAGCCCTCCTGGTGGGAGCTCAGCTGTGAGCAAGGACATCGTTAGAAGAGGATGGGCTTTCCCAGGTGCCCTGGGTTAAGGGCTCTTGAGGGTGTGTGAGGCAAGAGGACAACTTGCACACTAAGGACTGAGTAGGAGCAACTCTTCAGTGCAAAAAAAGGTACCACATTTTTAAATTATGTACTTTTTTTGGAGTATGATTATGTAGAAATGCAAATACTCTATAAAAGAAGGTCAGATGTGTAATTATGTTGATCTGAGTGAATCATGCAGGTATTTGCTTATGTACCTGCATGAATCAGCTCTGTTGCAAAGTGTTTTGTATAGTCATATAGTCAGCTTTTCTGCTGCCTTCTGTGTTTTTTTTTTTTTTTTTTT